TGCTTATTTGTGAAGCTGGAAGTGATGTACACACATTTGCATTCGCACATACGACATACAGAACACAGGCTGCCCGAGGGGAACGCCACGGAGCACATTTGTCTATTTCGGGACAGAAAATGTTTCGTCACATTAAACTCCTCTGACCAAAAAAAAAAAACCACCTAAAAAAAACAACACACTGGCATATTTGTAAATTCTCATGTGCTCACAAGGGGCAGGAACTTAGGTTGATTATAACGCTTTAAAAATAGCCCAAAATACCATCGGTGAGACAATAGGCCTTTTGTTTGCCCTACTATGACCTTGACAAGCTGCAGGACTGACAGCGAAGGATTTTGCAGCCTATACCATAATGCATCACCGCTAATGAATGTTTTGATTCTACGTCTGCCAACGCAGATGTTGAAAGCGATTTAGGTCTAATCAGTAAATGTCTACCTGGAAAGAGTCTTTTCGAAGCGACTTAGCAAGAGGGTGGGCGGGGGGATGGGGGGGGGACGTCTGGGAAGCCAGGTTATTATTTAAATAATTCACTTAGGTCAAGGTAAAAATAGCACCAACATGGACGATGGATAAATACATCAATAACTCAGAGGAGGCTAAAAAAAAAAAAAAAAAGAATGTAAAAGAAGATTTATTAATAGGAATATGTTGTACGGAAAATAAAAATAGAACCGTCACTCATATTTTTGTAAAAGAGGAAAACAGCGAAAAGCCCTTCTCAACTGTTCTTTTTTTTTTTTTTTTTTTTTTATCATGACACAGGACTTAGTTATCGACGATTCTGGACAAAAACTAGAAAGAAGTACATTGATGTTTTTTTGTTTTTTTTCGGGGAATGAAAGTAAAAAGCTCTGCGTGGTAGATTGTTTGCTTTTTTTCTTTGCTTTCTTTTCGTTGGTCTTATAATTTTTGCTCTTGGAAATAATAATAACAATGACAAAAATAATAATAATAGTAAAGAACAATAAACCTGCCATGTATTTCAAGAACGATGTAAACAGTAATAATAACCATCATACATTATTGCACACATTTTAATTTCAAACACAAAATACAATTAATAAAAAGCTGAGTCTGTGTTTTAAAGATTGGTTCATGCAGCATTCACCCGCGATACTAAAAATAGAATTTTCCCTCTGCATTGTGGGGTGCCAGGCCTCCTTCACATCTCCATGGTGACTCTGAGTTCACGCCCCCTCCCACCCCCGGCCCCCCAAAAAATAAAAAAAAACTGCCCGGGCAACTGAGCGTGCAACTGCAAACTTAGCCGACTAATTAGCGACACAGACATTGCTATCATTAGAGTTTTAATTAGTGATTTCATGCAGCCCATTTGCATTTAGCAGCGAGTGGAAAACACACAAATCTCATTCGAAAACCAGTTTGGGAGAAGCACATTTTACTCTGGAGCAATGTTCCACGGTGTTAGCGCAGCAGTACTTCATACGATGCTCTTTATTTGGGGTTTGGTTTCATATCAAACGGAATAAAAAAAATATGTATTTCTAACATTTGAACCAATGTGAACCAAACCATGACCTTAAGCCCCAATTGATATGGAACGTTGGCATACCGTTTCACCTCCAGAGTTTCCACATTTAAGCGGTTTCACTGTTCTAACCGAACCTCTGACGGTAATCATAACGATGATGTGACCAAAAACGCGAGCAAGTTTCACACCCCAGCTCTAAACTGCCCATTCGTGTCAATGTGAATTGCTGTTTATCTACAAAGCCCCGCCGTGATTGGCAGGCGACCACTTCAGGGTGTACCCCACCTCTTGCCCAAAGTCAGCTGGGATAAGTTCCAGCTCATGTGTGATCCTAATGAGGTTAGGATGTTTTAGAAAGTGGCTGGATGGATGATCAAGGTCCCCTTTCGGTATCCGGGATATCCGATTGCAGGCGCTTTGCCTCAGTTTCAAAGGGGGAGCTAAATGAACGAGTGCCATTAATAATATGTTTGTGGATTGACATTTGGGGAATGGTGTCAGCTACTAATGGTGTCCTCTAGTGTTATACGGTCATCTCTGGTCCAAATGGAGGCTCTGGTATTCTGTCCTGACCTCACTGCCAGGTACTATCAACACCCCGCGGAGGAGGTCCGTATTTAGGAGAGTCTTCGCTGCCACAAGGTCTGCCAGGCCTCACCTCGCTCCTCGGCCATATTTCTCAGCTTACTCCATTAATTAGTCATCAGGAGCCGTTTCTGTTTCGGTGTTGACGTTGGTTACACGCTAATGATAGAGTTACAGGTGCAGCTTGATGTGGCTTTCGATGGTGTCTCTGTCAGGTTTTTAATTTTTTTTTTTGTACCATCGGCTTAACAAGGGCGAGGAGCGGAATACAGAAGTGGAGCAGGGACGCGCCTTTAAGAGCGGCCAGCGGTGACTTTGTCCTACATTTGTCTTTATAGGTTTGATGGGCGCACCCAAGAGGAAAATGAAGCAGAGGGATGAACGGAGGTGTCCACGCTGACGGTCGTGCGGGGGGAGGTGGGGGTAGCACAAACTACATCCTTCCGCTGACAACACCATCATATACTCTAACCTCTGTGTGTGTGTGTGTGTGCGTGTGCTAAAAGAGGAGCAGACAAAGCCTGAATTCAAACACGCCACGGGCGCAGATTGGAGGTAAACAAGCTCTCCGCAACAACAAACAGATGGGCGGTCATTCTCGGTGCTTACTGAGGCTTCATTCATAAACAGACCTCTCAACAACAGCATGTTTGCCAAGTTAATGACGACTACGCGAGCTCATTCGTGACAACAAACAATTAAGCCTTTTAAAACAAAGTCCATACTCGCTTTTTCGGATTTGTTGTGGTCGTACGGCACTGCCGCGCGTCCTATGGCATGTTGGCCACTAAAAAAACATTGACTCATGCGGAGGGCCGCGATGACTGCGAAAAAAGAGAAAGGCGAGCAGGCCCACGGTGACTGCAACACACAGCCGTCAATATTTAGAAGGGTAATCTCAATCATTAAAGGTTTGAGCACAAGTCATTGATTTATTTTTCTTCCGATCCTGTTGCCGTTCCTTTTCAGCGGAGGTAAATGAGGTGGGTTTATTTTTAGAAGCTACGTGAGCGAGAGTTAATTGAATTGTGCCCTGTGGTCTAATGCTACCGCTTCGTCGTCTTCTTCACGCATCCTCGCGCACGCAACACCTCACGCCAGGTAATAAGGAGTCAAGAATTGCCACCTTGTGGGATCACGGCGAGAATACTTGACGAAAACGAACGAGATGCTGCAGGATTGGTGTGACAGCTCGTGAGTAGGTGACAAGCCCGAGTGATAACGGACAGCCATTTGTGCCGTCCTTAAGTGATGCATTTTGGATGAGTTTGACGTTGGCAGCGTGGGTTGACTTTGGCCAGCCGATACACATTGAATCGAGCGTAATACAGCGAATCCTTATCAAGAGACTCTCGAGTTCCAGTCAGGTGTGTCGAAAACGTAGCATAAAAATTACACAAGCTGCGCAGTGATTATAATGTAGAAAAGCCCTCACTTTGTACAAGCTGCTCTAGTTTGATAAGCATTCCCCAGTGAGGGAGCCTGAGTTATTCACAATGCCAAAGCGTAGAGGTGGGGATTGGGGGCAATATGGACTGCCGCGCTGACGGCTTAGGCAATGCCTCTGATGCGGGGGGGCAATACGTTGAAACTGTAACATACTGGCCCAATGGTTGTACACCTGCCGGCCACAATATTAGAGCTGGCGTCCAAGTAAAAGGCGTTTCTAATATGCTGGTCGCCTTATTTAGTGGACCACAACAAAAATGTTAGCGTGTCAAGCAAGCACGTCGAGCGTTCCAAGAACAATGTCCGTGCATCCGCGTTTAATGCCATCTTCAGTTGGTGTTAATGTAACATGAACTCACTTTCTAGAAACGACTTGCTTGACTCTACAGTTTTACGAACTGAATCCCCGTGAAGTTGCACAATTTGAAATTTAACAATTGATGAGTTGTGCCTCCCAGCTGCTTGTATTCGACCTTACAAGTACCATAGATCAGTGATTCGCAACCAGTGAGCCGTGTGATTATCAAAATCTATTTATTTCCGAATAATGCATCCTTGTTCATCTATCTATGCTAGTGCCATATAGTGAAAGGCAATGCTGTTTGGTTACATGGTAGAAGTTATTTAATTTTCCTGTGTGTTTACTTGGATGACATTTTTTTTGCATGGTGCGCCTGAGGTTTTTCTCTTGCGAAATATGTCTCGGTTCATTAGAATGGGAAACACTGCCATAGAATGATAGACTGTTCCCTCCATGCAAATGAAATAGCATGGTGAAGTGCAAATGCCGCCTTTGACGTTCGCCCTCGGGGCTAGGACTGACAACATTTACAGGACTAAATGACTGCATGCACTCGACAGCCAGTGGTTTTGCAGTCAAACAAAACATGAGCATCGACGACTACTTGCAGAGAGCACAAATATCTCCACAGTGCAAGATTTATCAAGCATGTTCATTTTGCAGCCATTTTGAGCCCACTGCCAAGTTTTACCATCCATCGAAGCTTATTTGGATCTCTCAGGAATTTAAATCTTCAAAAAAAAAAAAAAAAAAAATGGAGGACTTTTGGGAGTGGATAACACTGCAGTGGTTGTCAGAGGGCTGCCAGGCCCGCAATGTGACGCTGGGTGACTGCCAACCAGGGAGATGCACCAACTGGCAACACACGCCCGTCTCACTTATTCATCCACACACAACTAAGCAAGATCCTCCACACACATACAGTATCTCCCCTGTCTCTGTTGCCATGGAAACTGACATGCCTTCCATTGACAAGACGCAGCCCCGCGTGTGCGCGCACGTGTCGGAGTGTGTAAATATGAGCATTTGCATTTCAGAGACTTCACGTATGATTCATTCGCGGTATGTAGGGCAACGTCGACGCAAGTCATGTTTATTTTACTTTGCGTGGCTCCATAAACGGGGAATATCATTCGAAATATCTCCAAGGAAGTATGAGATACTTACTCTGAGGAGTCTATAAAGTATATTCCAAGGGCCCCGATGCTGAGTGCAAATACCAACACCACCTGAGGAGACAGGAGAGACGAGTAAACGATTAACAAGCGATACTGGTGTACATCAGGATGTTATATTCAGATACTGTTGACGCGACACGTAATTAAACATCGTCTCGTCATGTTCGGGTTGCAAAGTGATGTACATCGAAAAGTCGGCTCAAAATAACGAACGCTCACCTTCATGTCAGCAAATAGAAGTGCTTTGGGGTGCTATCAAATGCTGACAAAATGATAATTGCATGGGCTGGATTAAACATGGTTGTATAAGGTTGCAGATAGGACATAAATAACGACAAGGTAAAGTAAGTTGATGCACCGAGTAGCACAAATATCAAGCCAGGCCTTGAAAAATCTTACGACCCAAATGAGTGCGCTCATCATCACCACAAGGTCGGTGCAATCATCTTACCAAAGAGCTGAACCCGTACGGCAGTGGTGCACAATAGTCTCCAATTCAACCCATTCAACAAAAGGAACAAACTGTGCTGCCTAACGGTGCCATTTATTATTGATGACGGAGCTTGATTACTTTCATGCGATGGCCCTTTAGATGGATCTGACACATTGTGCTCGAGGTATTAAGCACTTGGCTTACGTTTTTTTTTTTTTTTTT